GAAGTTAATAATAATATCATAATATATATTAGTACACTAATTAATATACTAATTAGTACATATAATACTACAGTTGATGTTATTAAATTTGTAATTATTGTTGGATCCTACTTCTCAGCCCTATTAACTATAATCAACCCCGGTTGGTAGCTCGAAATTCGTGGGTCGAATTTGGCTCGACACCAAAACGACATCATTTTGGTGTCTGTTTTTTTTTTTTTTTCCTACTTCACCTAGTTTCACACACTTTTTCCCTTTTTCTTTCCAAATCCCTCCTTAAATCCGTCAACCAAACACAGTATGAGTGTCCCCCTTTAATCTGAATGGTTCAATTCGCATTTTATGTAGTTTTAGAATGTACAGATCTGTCATCTTAGGCACCATTTGTGAAGAGTGGCCACTAAACAATTGAGAGTTAGATTTTTTTTTAAATTTTTTTTAAAGAAATTGGTGTAGGAAAGGTGATTTTTTTTTTTTCTTTTTCTAAACAACAATGATTGAGGGCCCGAAATAGTGGGGCTCGAATGCCCCTAATTTCCATTTTAGGAAAAAAAAAAAAAAAAAAAAGGAAAAAAGAAAGAAAAAAAGAAAACAGTTTCCAAAATTGGAAATTAGGGACATTAGGGGCAAATTTTTTAGGGCCACCAATCATTTTCCTTTTCTAAATTATAAAATTGAGGTGTACAAAATTATTTGATAGAATCATATACAAAATAAACAAACAAAAAAGAAATGGTGGAACCAACCGATGTGACCTTATATTTGGGCTAATTTGACATGTTTTAGAAAAGATACAAAGTTAAAAAATTATTAAAAAAATTAAAAAATTATCACTATTTATAAAAATAAAATATAAAAAAATAAATTTACCCTCAAAAAAAGTACAAACCATGAATGCATGACATAGTGATGGGTCCGTATGATGGTTCAAATTACACACAGGTGCACAAATAATTTACACAAGACGGTATTGTTCGACCCGTAAGGACCCATCACGGGTTCCGTTTTGATAATCTGAACTGTACATGTATAGAAATCGTCGAGTACTATATGCCTGTAAAAAATCACATTAATCGAATATCGATAACTATATGATCAAATCAGTTTTGTATAAAAAATAGACTATGAACAAATTAACAGTTAAAAAAAACTAATCCAATGAGATAGCTATCGATATCCGATCAATATGATTTTTTGCAAGCATATAGTACTCGACGAGTTCTACACATTGAACGGTTTCGATTATCAAAATGGGGACCGGTGGTAGGCCCTCACGAGCCGAATAGCACCTTACAGTCCAATTTCAGACTAGAGGCAAGCTTTTACTATACAGTACTCTGAAGAATGCTACCCACCATATTGGCTATAAGTCCCAATCACTGTCTCTACGCATTTAGAGATATTATGCGTAATATGGTAATTTTACTATTTTATATAATATTTTAATATATATTTTTTCGTAAAAAGTCAAAAAACTATTTTAAATAATCATATTTTTTTCCTCTACTTTTTTATTTAAAAATTTAAAAAATACATTTATATAATTCATTCTAAACAATCCCTTGCGTTTGTTCTTCCGTTAATAATGGTGAAATGGCTCATGATATGGTTTGGGAGGTGGTTATCTTATAAGTTTTTTTGATTTTTTTTGATTTATTTTTAATTTTGTTTACCAATTATATATCTTAACAACAATGATAGAGACCATTAATTTTTGAGCTCTAAAAAGATCACTAATGACATGTCACTCAATAAAAAAAGAAAAAAAATATAACACCAAAGTCAAAACATCAAATCATTCATGGTGGGATCCACTGCCACATCGTTAGTGGTAACACTAATTAGTGCTCTTACTCATTGTCCATATTTTAATTAAAAGTTAAAAAGTTATTATTAATTATTACAGTATTTTTTTTATTGTTTTACATATTTTTTTTATAAAAAATCAAAAAATTATTAAAATAATATATTCTGGCTTAATAGACAATTTTAGTTTTTTGTATTTGAGAAAATGAGTTAAATTTTTTGGAAAATGTTTAGTAGTCCAAAATTTTGTGGTTTAAATAGTTCAAATCTGTCAAAACGACGTCGTTTTGAATGATTTAAATCATTTGAACTACAAAATTTTGAACTACATAATATTATTGAAATTTTTTTATTAGATTTGTATATTAAAAAATGTGTTTGAAATGATTGATGATAATAAATAACCAAAAGGTCCTTATGTATATCGTTGCTGTTGTTGTGGGTTTCTTAAAACTTAAAAGGGCAAAAGAGTTATTTTACTCTCTGCCCATTAGAGCTATGCATCACCTGGAAAGTCCTCAGCAACCGTACTTCTTTTTGGATTTTTTTCCTGAAGAGGCTAAATAAGCGTATAAACTTTGCTCCCAAACACCCGGATCACCTATCGCCTTCCCTTGTCACCCTCAAAACGACGTCGACGTCGTTTTGGGGGTAAATTTTCAAAAAAAAAAAACGCAGAGAAGAGGGAGGAAGGAGAGGAAGAGGGAGAGGGAGAGGGGAGGAGGAGGGAGGAGGGAGGAGGAGGAGGAGGAGGCTGCGAACTAATGACACTCTATGGTAACCCGTTCTGAGATCCTTTGTGACTTCCCACGTCCTTTCTTACCCTTGGATGTGCCTACTAGAAACAATGAAAAAGTATCATGTTAATATATAGATTGAAAAGACGAGACCACCAACCAAAACAAAACATAAACTTAAAATATTTACAAACCATCAGTGTTGCAATGTGTGCTAGAAGTATCCGAGTGTGAAACTTGTGACGTAACTTCATGTACCGATTCTGATGTAAATGGGTGCGGCGTAGATGATCGAACTGATTTAATGGATGTACATCACTCTTGGAGTTTCCCGAATAAGCTTTTGTAAACAATTTTCCGTAGTTGAATAGCTTGGTTGTCACATATAGTTCTCTATCCTTGAATAAACAAAGATGGCTATTTTGCACAAGAGTGTGAATAAAAATAACTCAAATTTAAATTGGTTAAAAAAAAACTCAATCTGCCAATAAACTCTATAAGCAATCCAATTATTATGGTTTTTGTTGTGAAATATTTGGATAACCATAAAAAGATGCAATTGGAATTGAATACGTATTACTTTATAGAAGAAGATAATAGAATAAAAGGATAGAGAAATGGAGAGCTCTAGAAAAGTTTGGTCTTGGTGAAGTTGATAATTGGTTTTCTATATATATATATACACCCTACAAGAAATCAGCTTTTTAGGGACAAATTTGTTTCGTCCCTAAAAGTATAATATTTGTTGGGAAAAACTTTTGCCAACCAATTTCCTTCGTCGCGAAGTTTGTCCCAAATAGCCCGTCCGGAAAAGTCAAAAAATGACTTTTAGAGACAAAATTTTACATTTGTCACTATAAATAGACTTTTAGAGACAATAATATGTGATTGCAAAAAGTTTTGATTTTGAGACGACAACCAAAATTTGTCTCTAATAGTCTAATTATGGTTCAACAATCGGAGTAGTTATGGAGACAAAAATTAATTTTTGAGACAACCGAAATTGGTCTCTAAAAGTTTGTTTTTTGGGACAAATGAAAGTGGTCTCCAAAAGTTTTACTTTTTGAAACAAATGGAAGTAGTGTGTAAAGGTTATAATTTTTTTGAGACAACTAAAATTGGTCTCTAAAAGTTTGATATTATTTATTTATTATTATTATTTATTTATTTTTGTAACAATTACTCTAAAAATACTAGTATGAACATCAACTTATATTCCTTTCTTGATTTCTTAACAACCAAACAGAAAATATCAAACATATAACAAGACCATATATTCATCTCCAAATTAAAATTCCACTACATGAAGAAAAAAAAAATGCTCATCACATTCAAAGAAGCTTAATCAAAAGATATTTCAATAACAAACAAATACCATGCTCTGATTCATTAGTATGTAATATCTTAATTATATATCATAAACTGACAGAGATTTCAAAAGTATTATTTCCAATTTATAAGACTAGTACCATAAGCAATGTTTGCAGCATTCAACTATTCAACATATTGTAATTGGAGTTATATCTACCTACATAACAAAACAACTCAACTCATCGCATCTTCTTCTCAATGGTTTTGTTGAAATGTCATTCAAAATCTAGCAAAGAGCTCCCAAGCTTCAAATTGACACAAGCTTGCAGAACCTGCATAGAATAAGCCAAACTCTCAAATAGATTACCAATTAAAAATTATCTAATGACAGATTAATTTAATAGATTGCAATTTAATGTGCTAATTGTAGTATCTACAGCAATCACACATAAATCTCAGCACACAAAGCCGCCCAAAAGTCACTATCAATATTCAAGAGTTAACAAAGATTAAACTAAATCAACTTGCTACAAAAATTTGAAAATAATTATTCCAAAGATAGACACAGTTTACATTGATGTTGTGAAAACAAGATGAAAAACGGTTACCTATTTATTCCTCAACTCAATCATCAAAGCAATTTTGAGGTCAATTGAAATTAGTAATCTTCCTCTTGTTTCAATGTTATATATAATCAACAATATATTGATAATGAACAGACCAATATCACAATCCAGAATGGTCAGATAATATAAGCAAAAGTCAACCAACAATCAAGTGCTTTAATTATTAATTTCAAATATAAAAAAAGCAACAATGTGGAGTAGGTTCTCAACAATATTGATTGAAATTCAGCAATTAACAATCATGGGTATGTCAAAGAAAACAATTAGCACTTGCAGAATTAGCAAACCTTGATTGCAAACAATTAGCACTTGAAGAAAACAATGAAAAAGTATCATGTTAATATATAGATTGAAAAGAAGAGACCACCAACCAAAACAAAACATATACTTAAAATATTTACAAACCATCAGTGTTGCAATGTGTGCTAGAAGTATCCGAGTGTGAAACTTGTGACGTAACTTCATGTACCGATTCTGATGTAAATGGGTGCGGCGTAGATGATTGAACTGATTTAATGGATGCATTGGGTCCAGGTGTTGATTGAGTGGATGAACAAACTGATTTAGTGGATGCAAGTGGTGTAGACGCATGGGGTCTAGGTACATACCCTGCTCGTCCTCTACCCCTTGTGGACATACCTGTGTTGAAAATTTGTTATTGGTTATCAGTTAGAACAATGTAGGATATTCAAATGAAATTCAAAAAACCAACCAAATCACAAAAAAAAAAAAAAAAAAAAATGCTCAGTACGACAACAGTTGGAGAAAACTTCCCCCAAAGCTAGAGAAAACTTCTCTTTCTGTTTCACATCTAGATTTACAAAACTCCACTTAATTATTTACAAGCCAGAGGCAAAATAAAAGAATACGCAAGTTGCACAAAAATATCTATCTGTGCAACCCCTAATGCTGGGAACGGGAATGCAATACCTTTACCTTAGCAATGGGCACACCAGATGTCACTCCTCTATTTGCTCGCTTCCCTAGATCAATCTGCACTGAGACAGTGGTTTAAAAGCATTAGACAAATCTTTACATTTTTGCAAATGAGATGAAATCTGATTAGGATTGGGGCTTGTGTTTCAAAATATGGATAAATATTACACACACACATAATGAAAACAACAACAACAACATGCTACAGATTGATACTGCTCGTACTTTTAGGATCCAGTGATAGTAATGCCCATCCTTTCATAAAAGTTCCACAATTTCTAAACTAACACTGCATAAGAGAAAAAATAAACTAATGGATGTCAAAAAGGAAATGATCTTCACAAGCTTTCACAATATATTGAACAAATTAGAATGAAAACAAACGGGACGTTGACCTAAACAACTTCATGACATTGATAGCTTAGATGGCTGACTACCCATTTGCTAGGGGCAGATACAACATTTATACTGACCTCTGTGTCTGTGTTTAACAAAAAATATAAAATTACCTTACTATCTACGAAGTACGGACACTGACAGATATATATAGCATTTGAAAATCAAGGCAAAGAAAACCAAAGTTTGGTTCTACTGTTCTAAATTATGGATTAGTTTATTATTTGATGCCACAAATAGCTCAGCAAATGAATTACTAACGGGCAGAGAGAGAGAGAGAGAATGGTTCAGAGAAGGAATAGATATAGAAAACAAAAGCAAAGAATGACATTGTCTTTCTAGAATTATTAGGTCTACATTGTACAATGCACATATGGTTGCAATTTGCAATAATTCACAATACTCAAAATGTGTAGAAATTTAGATAATTCACAATACTCAAAATGTGTAGAAATTTAGAAAATTTATATTTAGTGCACACACTCACACAAAAACTAATATCTCGCTGATTCAAGAGAACATTCACATAATTTAGTGAGAACATTCAAGAAAGGTTTGTTATTTGAGCAAAGTTGAAAACTAATATCTGAGCAAAGTTGTTCAAGAAATTAGTTTATTAGTTTATTATTCAAGATATTAGTTTATTATTTGAGCAAAGTTGTTATTTGAGATATTAGTTTATTATTTGAGCAAAGTTGTTTTCACTTTTCACATGTTAGGCTTTTCTTCTTTAAAGGTTTGTTGCACATAACTTTTGACCATTATTTTCATCAGTAGTATGTAATATCAAGCAGATACTAATCCAACAGAATCCCAAGAATCAATGAACACTAAATAAATTTTCCAACATGTGCATAAGGTACTTACAGTCACAAGTTGATGAGCATTATTACCTTTAAATAAATTCAACATTTATACTAAGTTTAAAACTTAAAATTATTTTTGGTCGACCTCAATTAAATAGATTAGCTAGGTTATCCATTGAAAAAATATTATAGATAATCTTCATTAGACAAACTTAATTAGTTATTTTGTAGTTAAATTGCAAGATGATGTTTATGGAATTTTAGATATATATATATAGATATATATGGATTGTAATAGTGTAGCCCTGTAATAGTGTTCTAATTTTGTGTTCCATTTTAAGTTTGAGCATCTATGGCCTTTGACAGTTGGGTTTGGTATAGTCCTGATTCCTTTATTTATACCTTGCAAATTCAGAGGATTTCAAGAATGAATGAAATGATTTCATCCTGCAATTCAGAGGATTTCAAGAATGAATGAAATGATTTCATCCAGCAAAATCAAGTAGTTTCTATTTTCCACTTTATTATGTCACAATTCATTCAACCAATACACTTGATCACAAATCACTGAACACAAGGAGCTCTGAGTTATCTATTCAACACAAATACAAAACTAATTTAACTTGAGACTAGTCCTGCACGCTACTGCTAAGGATCAAACACGGAAATATTTTTAGGTAGATTTAGATGCAGTTTTGAGTCCACAATAATGTAAACCTCTTTGCTCGCTTACTTTCTGGTATTCTTACCTACCAGAAGATGAAGTATGGAAAATCATTACTTAGATCTGCATATTTCAATTTGGTAAATTTGATTGAACAAACACATGAATCTATACATGGCTAAAATTGCGATATCAAATCGATTATACGGATACATACATGTATGTATATACATATATAATGTACCTGATCGGAATCGCTACCGGAGAGTCGTCGGCAAATCGGAGAATCGAGAAGAGATGAGGCGGCAACGGAGAGAGATGCTATGAGACAATGATGAACCACATATCAGAATATCGAATCCGTAGAGAGTGAGTGATGAAAAGAAATTAGGGATTTGAAACCTGATATATGAAAAGAATTTAGGGATTTGAGAGAGAGGGAGAGAGTGAGTGATGAAACTGATGCATTTTTTTGTTTTTTGACAGTCCTGATTATTAAGTTCAAAAATTAACATATAAAATACAATAATATATGATTTGGGTTTATTAGGGACCAATTAAAAATGTAAGGAAAAGTGATTGGTCTTTTTAGAACCAAGTAAATTTGTCTAGAAAATGTAATAATATGATTAAATATATATTTTTTAAAAATTCTTTCATTTTGTCCTTAAAAGTATAGTTTTTACAGACAAATTATTTTTGTCCCTAAAAATTTGTCTTTAAAACCTTTATTTCTTGTAGTGACATATGTGTTTGTCCTTTTGATAAGCGGAAAGAGAGAATGAGATATTATTGTGTGGTACAAGGGTGTTGCTTTCCTATAACATATGTATGCCCTTTTGATGAGCGGATGTGTTAAATATATTAGTGGAAGATAATTTATTTTCTTTACTCAAATCTTTTATTATTTACCTTTGGTCCTCACTTTTTTTTTTTTTATTTATTTATTTTTTCTCTGGTTCAGGAGTTTTTCTAATTTTTCAACATTCATGATAGCGTTTTGCACTGCTGGTACAGTTGAAAAGCCCTAGAGGTGGGCCCATTTCAAGTTGAAACTTTTTTAATAGGCTGTTAAGTGATGGACTTTAAACCCAACCAAATTCGATCTTCCATGGGCTTGCTGGAAGTCCATCTAGCAAGATTGACTTGTTATATAACTAAGTTCAATTTTAAATATATTTTAAAATTCGTTAAATTTTAAAATTGGATAAGGCTCAAATCCAAATTACATGATCAAAAAAATATACATTTAGGAAGTTTTGTTGAAATGATACACAACCATCCCAAACCAAACAAACATTTCATGGCATGTGCTAAATCTTTAAATTTATAATTCGAAATTGGATTAAACCTCGGCCACGTGTCCAATTTGATCCAACAAACAAATCAATCGCTAATCGAGTAGGGTGGTAGACTCAAAACTTGTAGGACAGAGATACGCACTCTTTTGTAAAATTAATTGGTGATACAAAGGATTTTTTGTTTTTTTATAACATTTGATATCACGCCCTGTAGGCCTATTTTTATAATAATCATAAAGAATGGTATTGTGTACCAACATACAGAATACTCCACACTACTCAAAAAAAGGTCACATAAGGTGTTTACATAAGGTGTTGTCTATGTATGGCACTTTAAAATGCTATTCCGCTTGGTTCAATTTTCAAATCCATTTTTTGAAACCCAAAATCTAAAGCTTGTTTAATTTTGAATTTTCACAAGATATATTTTAAATTCATTTTTCAAAATCCAAAACCTAAAACCCAAAATCCAAAACTTGTTTGTTTTGGGTTTTCATAAACAAGTTTTGAAACCCAACATATATTTCAAATCCATTTAAACTGGGTTAATTTTTTTTTTTGGTATATTATTTTGTATATTTGTTAGCATTCAACAATTTTATAAACAATTTTTTTTTTTTTTATAAATGTGAAACGCTTTAAATGTTTGTAACTTGAGTAGATATAAAATTAGAAAAAAAAGTGTTAAAATTTCTAAAACGTTCATAAAAAATAATAAATATAGAGTGAGATTCTATTGTATAGATTAGATTAAATGCATCTAAAAAAAGTAGACAAATATACAGTTAGATTATGTATATGAAAGAAATAGATAAATTTGACTATAATATTACAAAAAAGTTTTGACAAAAAAAAAAAAAAAAAACTCAAATTGAGTTTGAAAACTCAATAACCAAGCAAGTTGAATTCAATTTTTTAAACTATTTTAAAATAATACCACTCAAAAACTACTTGTAAAAACTAATAATTAAGCAGATTTAATTTTCAACCACTCTTTTAAAGAATTAATTTGAAAAACATTTTTAAAAATGAAATTTCAAAACTAAAACCAAATGATTATGTAGTGACTCTATATTAACAGATTGCCAAAAATGGTGAGCCAAACTCTATATATATAATATATTTTTTAATATTTTTATTTTTAAAGATAGATTGAGCCGGGCTTGCTTTGTTACATCTTGAATGGTACGGTCTATGTTGAGTGTTACATATCGAGAATGTAATTTGTAATGTATGGCCCATAACTTTTTCTATCAACCCCTTTGCATTCGATTTTATGGTCATCGACCTATTGATACTTGATTGGTCTCTTATTTTTTCTTGTTTTAGTTTAGGATGACGTGTCATAGCCCTATTTAGTATAATTTATTATAAATTAAAAATTAAAAATCAAAAAATAGAAATACAAAATATCACTTTTCCAATTTTAAAACAATTCATTTTTCTCAACTTATTTATTTATTTATTTTTCCCCAAGAAAGTGTAAACAGAAATAATACGGAACAATCCACAGATTCTCAGAATAAAAATAAAATAAATTGTAACCAGCTTACGTAAGCTTGCAGTAAACAATGTACATATGACCTTACTGTTAAGTTTATTAATTTCATCATAAGGGTTTATTCTTCTTTTAAGAATAATAGTAATAATAACTTAATTTAATAATCGTAATTATATTATTTTATCATAATTGTTTCATAGTATATTTTTTGGTTAATTATACTTTTCACCCCTCTAGTTTAACTCAACTTCAGTCCTTTTAGTTTTAATTTGAACAATTTGATCCCTACATTTAAAGTCTAGTTTCAATTTGGTCATTTCGTTTAAATTTTTGTTAATTTTGTCTACATATACACTTTAAAAATTTGGCAAATATTCCAAAATTGTTAATTTTAACTTCAATTTGGACAGAATGACCGAATTGAAACCTTAGAAAATTGACAAGTGTCCAGCTTGTTTGGTTCTGGTTTTCAAAAAAGAGTTTTTAGAAAATTCTACTTTTTCATTTTTCTTATTTTAATATTTTCAATGATTTTTTTTAATATTTTAAGCAATTTGTTTTAATTTTTAGACACATCTAACATAAATACACTTCAAAGGTATAATATTTGTGAAAAAAATCTTCAAAAAATACAAAAAAAAAAAATGAAAATTTAGTACATTTTTCGTATTTTTATGTATTTATTAATTTTTTAAAATATTTTTTCACAACTATTTTATTATTTAGATATATCTAAGTATAGTGCATCTAAAAAAGTAAAAAAATTGCTTAAAATTTTAAAAATATTCACTTAAAACAAAAAAACACGAAGAATAAAAAACTCAATTTTCGAAAAACTGAAACCAAACACATCGAAATTTTAATGTCCAATTTGGACGGAATGACCAAATTGAAAATAGACTTAAAGTGTAAGAATCAAATTGTTCAAATTAAAATTATAAAGATTAAAGTAAAATTTTTAAATCAAATTTTATGGTGAAAAGTGTAATTAACTTTATATTTTTAAAGTTGTGCTCGTCAATTATTGGTTTAATAATAAATATAATTATAATTATTAGATCCATCATATTTTTTCATGGAAGATTACACACCTAACCCTAAAAGAAAAACAAACTAAATAAAAAATAGTAATATATTCAGACTCAAAAATTAAATTTACTTTTCAAATTTAATGATATGACAATCTATTTAAAAGTCTATGTCAATTATTTCTGTAATCTAAAAAATGAATTTAGAAAATTAATTTATACATCAGTTAAAAAAGTAGATCATGTAATATGCCCGGTTTGGCTAACAGGACGGACACAGCCCACTATTTATGTTAGGCCTAGAAATAAAAACAGGATTTTTCTTCATTGTTTTTCTCCAACCAAAAAAAAAAAAAAACAAAAAATATTTACACACAAGTCTTAATTTATGAATTTATATTCCATTAAGTTTTAATTAAAATTTTTTAAACCTTCATGTCTCATTAAATTTTTAATAGTCAGAATTATGGTTCAAATAATGATTGTTCATCATTTATGATTGTCTATAAAGAAATATGATAATTTGACAGTTGTTTTGATTTTCAAAACTTTAAAATATCAACTTTCAATTTGAAAAAACTAAAAAAAAAATTACGTGCAACCAAAAAAAAAAAAAAACTTTTTTTTTGAAAAAAATTATTTTTTTTTGTGCAAAATTAAAAAAATTGTATCTATAAAGGAATATGATGATGGAACATTGATGTGTAAAATGAAAAAAAAAAAATATATTTTTTCAAAAAAATGAAAAAATTGATACTGTTCTCAGTTTTAAAACTGGAAAAAACTAATAATGTTATCGATTTTATTGGATAGTTAAATAGGGCAAAACGTTTAATCTCATTTTTTTTATCAGTTAGTGAAAAAATTATCTGGAACATTGCTATGCAAAATTGATAATATTCTTAGTTTTAAAAATTGAGAAAAATTGATAATATTCTCAATTTTTCTAAATAGGACTTATTAGTACAAAAAAAATCTTATATAAGACCTGAGCTATTATAACATTTGTAAATAGGACTTTAGATAATTAACTCTAAAAAAAAAATAAAAAATTGTTATGCTTAGAAATATATTTCTAGGATATTCTCAGAACAAAACAAAATCAAAGTTAATTTGTCCTTCGATTCCAAGAATTCGAAGTAATAAGGAACACAATAATCTTGTTTGGTCCCACAAACTAATACAATATTTCCCCAGTTTTTAACTCAAGTGCATTTAAATTCAATTTTTTTTTAGAGGATATGAAAAATATTTATATTAAAAATAATAACATACAGAAACAAGATTTCAAAGGGTCATACAAATTATACAATAAAAGGGCAAAAAAGAAAACAAATAATCAAAAATAATAAATCTGTCAAAAAAAAATCACTTTTTCTTCATATTAAAAGCCCAAGTGAGATTCACAGTAGCTATGAAATGCTGCTGTCTCCTTCACCCCATCAACTTACATGAAACAAAGATAAATTCATCTTCATTATTAATACGTTCACCAAGAACACCTGTTTCTCATAGAAGAGGCATTAAAACATACCAAGAGAAGTCATTAAATTCAACACTTATTAAGTGATACGACAATTCTCAAGTCTTGAATAAGAAAGGCCAATGTGTTTTTATTTATTTTTTTGAGCGGTCATCCCACAAATTTGCTTCTAAAAGAACTGATCATAAATTAATCTTAGCCTTGGTTTGAACTAATTTAGTTTGACTTTTTAACTAATTTAACTTGACTAAATTAGATTCGTTTAGGAAATTTTTTTAACCTTTTTTAGTTTAGATGTGATAATTACGAGAGAAAAAAATAAAATGATTATATTTTAAATGTAATATTTTATGTCATTAATTAAATTAATTTATTTTATTTTTTTATACTTATTTAATTACTTTAATTCTTGCCAACCTAGACCTTAGATTTTTTTTTTTTTTTTTTTTGGATTGGCAAAGAAAACTTTATTGATGAAACACATAGTACGATAAATTACATCAATAAAGAGGAGCTTGGAGTTAGATAAAGCTCCAACCTCATAGATGGTGAAAAACCAACAGAACAGATAGAACCAACAAATAAAATAGAACCAAGCCTCTGAGGTGAAGCAGACAGAACAGATAGAACCAACATATAGAACCCAGCCTATGAGGCAACACTTCTGTGTGAAACACCAGAATCTAACAGCAATAGATGGGGAAAGCAAACAGCAGCAAAACCTGAGCAGGCTCCAACCACATAAGAGCAGTAGTAATTAGAATATTTACTGGAAGTTTAAGCACTTTTCCTGATCTGTTTCCATTTGAAAACAATATCATCAACTGCATAAGGGAAATTCTTAATGGAGCCTGTACACGTGACCTTAGATGCAACTATAAACCTAGATATCTTGATTTCGATCACCATTAGTAAACATTTGTACACGTGACTTGTCAGTAGTTGCAGATACCTTTCAAGCTTAGTGTTTTCAAAATGATAATAGCTTGGATTATAATTTACATTTACCCAAGGATGAGCATCACAACAAGTTTTCTTAACCGGTAGCTTCTACGGTGTGCACTGTTAAAACGGTTATATACGTAATATAACTATAACGATCTGTAACAATCATCACAATTTATTATAAATTTCTCATCACATATAACTATAACGATTTATATTGAAGGAACTGGTTTAGCTATAACTATCCTTTGTGCCTCTTTTTTTTTGATCGGCAAAGGGAAACTTTATTGATGAACACAAATGTAATACATCAATAAAGAGGAACTTGGAGCTAAACGAAGCTCCAACTTCCTTGTTGGGGAGAAACCAACGCAAAGACAAAAAACAAAATCAGAAAGAGCAACACCCAGCCAAAAAACAAAGCTACTCCCAACTATACTAAACAAAACAGAGCTAACATATTCTGCATTTAGAACGACACCCAGCACGAAATCTGCTATCCATACCCTACGTGAGCCCAGCAAAGACGAAGCAGCATACAACACCTAGGAGAGCCTTTACACAAAAAACGATCTGCTTACACAGTTAGGCGCAACCTGATCTGGTGAAGATTTGAGACAAGATCATGGACTGAATAATCAACCTTGAAGGACCACTTCACCCACAGAGCGATCTGCAGTTTCATCCTCTCACATAGACCTGCAAAATCTGGAGCAACCCCCTTAAATATGCATTCGTTTCTTAATTTCCAAACTGACCACAACACTAGTGCTGGAACAGCCTGCCAAGCTCTATCAACCCAAGACTTTACTTTACCCCCAGACCACCAATGGAGCAGACCCTCAGCAGAACCAGGCATGACCCAATACTGATCCCACCAGCTAGCCATGGCTGCCCAGCACTTCCAAACTAGAGGGCAAAACATCAACACATGCTCTAACGTCTCCTCCATAGATTGGCAGAACACGCATTGGATCATTGCATTGTGAGGTAGAACCCCAATCCTTTGTAGGAAGGAAGAAGTCTTAATTCAACCTCGCCAAGCAAGCCAGCAGAGAAACTGCATCTTTGGAGGTGCCAGGCTTGCCCACACCCCAGCTAGCACTCTCATAACAGGACCTTTATTTGCAACCCACCAATTCCACACCGATGATGTAGAGAACTTACCAGAACTTGATGCAAGCCAAGAGCAAGAGTCTATAGATTCCACACTGAGTTCAGGAGATGAGTCCAGTAATGCAGACAGCCTTTGCAGCTCCTCTTCCTCCCATGCCAACAAACTCCTTCTGAAATGGAGCTGCCACACCCCGAGGCTCTTATTGGCACTAATTTGCTGTAAGGTTTCTTCCTTCTCAGTGGATAGACTGAATAGTCTGGGAAACTCCTCCTTCAGACTTTTACCATTAAGCCAAGCATCTGACCAAAACTGGATCCTCCTCCCATTTCCCGCTGATAGCTTAAAGTGCTGGGAATAAAACTCACCCAAAGTCTGGTTAATTGAATTGAGCTGCACTATATCCTTCCACACAGTAGACGCCCCATTTGTGTTGAACAAAGTTGGTATCCAACCCCCACCGAAACGACCATACCTTGAGCATACATATGATTTCCACAAGGCTTTATCCTCTGCACCAAATCTCCACCACCATTTTAACAACATACAATCATTCACCTCGCCCACATCTCTCACACCCATGCCCCCTTGATTTTTATTCTTAGTAACCACACCCCAATTGACCAAGTGTACACACCTCCCAGCCTTAGCTCCACCCCACAAGAAATTGGATTGAATTTTTGCTAAAGCCTTAACAACCCCTTTAGGCATCTTGAAAATAGATAGAAAGTAAATAGGCAAATTAGAAAGGACTGATTTAATTAAGGTCATACGCCAAGCAAAAGACAGAAGCTTTCTCTTCCAAGAAGACAATCTCTTACTCACCTTATCCAGCATTGGGTTCCAAGTGCTCTTTCTCTTAGGGTTGGCCCCTAGAGGCAGACCTAAAAAGTTGAAAGGTAATTTCTTCGATTGGCAATTCAGTCTTTGAGCTAAACCCAAAATTTCATCTTCTTGGAAACCCACTCCGTATACTGCGCTCTTATGATAATTTATTTTTAACCCAGGCATCACTTCAAAACACCTCAACACCCTTTTGATGTTTAGCACCTCCTTGTGATCATCTTCACAAAACATTATGGTGTCATCTGCAAACTGGAGGTGAGAAATGCGTAAATCATTACCTCCAACTGAGGCTCCTCTAAACAAGCCCTTTTTTACTGCCCTTGCTAATAAAAGGTTGAGAGCTTCTGCTGCAATTATAAACAAAAAAGGTGACAGGGGGTCACCCTGCCTAAGCCCCTTCTGAGGGTGGAACTCCTCTGTAGGTGAGCCATTAACCAATACTGAAGCCCTGGCTGTAGAAACGCAACTCCTCATCCAAACTAACCATTTTTGTCCAAAACCCAGATTATTCATCATCGACCACAGAAATTCCCAATTGAGTGAGTCACAAGCTTTTTCAAAGTCCAACTTTAGAATTATGCCTCTCTTCTTCGATCTTTTCCATGCATCTACAACTTCATTTGCTATGAGCACGCTATCTAAAATTTTCCTGCCACTCACAAAAGCCGACTGAACCTCGTTGATCACAGATGGCAACACTCTCTGAAGCCTCCTTGAAAGCATTTTTGCTAAAATTTTATAGACCGAGTTCACCAAACTGATAGGTCTATAGTACCCCAAGCTTATGGGATTTTCCTTCTTAGGAATAAGAACTATGAAAGAGTTGTTAACCCCTCTAGAGAGCTTACCATTTTGGTGAAATTCATTCACCATACTAATGATCTCCCCTTTCAAAATTGATTAACACCTTTAAATGCAATTAAGGTTAAAACCATCTGGGCCTAGGGCTTTGTTCCTATTACAGTCCTGCACTGCTTCCCAAACCTCATCTTCTGAGAAAGCAGCTTCTAGAGTACCAACATCCGCAGAGCTAATAACAGCTAAAAGGCCAAGAAGTTTTGGCCTGAGCTTCCAATTTTCAGAGAACAGCTGACTGAAATGCCTAACCACTTCTTGCTTCACCTGAACCGGATCCTCCACACTCCTACCCTCCACTACAACAGAGTCAAGCAAATTCTTCCTCTGCCTTCTGCTAGCCATGATGTGAAAGTACCTAGTATTTTTATCACCAGAATGCGCCCACATCTGCCTAGACTTTTGATGCCATAGCCTTCCCTTACTTCTACCCAGCTGCCACACCTAGCTCCTAACTTCTCTTCTTCTATTCAGTTCCTCTTCCTCTAGAGATCTAGACTCTGCCTTCAAATCCCATTCATGAAGCTCCTCCTCTGCCTTCTTTAACTGAGTATCGATATTTCCAAACACGACCTTGTTCCACTCCCTTAAGTTGCTCCTAAGCAAGTTCAGTTTTCTCATTACTCTAAACCCTGCCCACCCTTGGACTTGAGCTTCCTCCCACCTCTTCTTCACTTCTGACATAAAGGTTGGATGAGATAACTAGGCATTAATAAATTTAAAAGGCTTTGGTCCCAATCCCTGTCATCTTCCTTTATCAAAATTGGGCAGTGATCTGAGATTGACCTTGGGAGACCCCATTGCTTAAATGAAAATTTTTCCATCCACTTCACATCTAACAAAAATCTATCGATCCTACTCCACCTGTTTCCATCCATGGCATTACACCAAGTATACTGCTTGCCTAGCAGAGCCATATCAGTTAGTTCTAATTTTTCCACAAAGTCATTGAAATCCTTCATCCTCCTATCTCTAGATAAACATCCCTTCCTCTCTCCCATGAATCTAATTTCATTAAAATCCCCTCCCACACACCACGGGTTTGGAAAATGTTGATGAATACCCACTAGAGATTCCCATAACTGTCTCCTCCCAAGAACCTCATTAGGAGCATAGATATTTACTAGAGTACACTGAAAAAGAAGAACTAGAGATACCTGATAAAATGATGAAATTTTTCCTACTACAGCAGCTCCTAAGACCGAAGATTTGTGGCCTCCATATACACAATAGACCTCCAGCACTTCCCACTGCATCCACCACCATAAATTCCATTTCTTTATAGGGCCAAACTGATTTCACAAAATGATCCTCCATATTTCTTCTCTTAGTCTCCTGAAGAAAGAGCACATCAACATCTCTCTCCCTTACCAATCTCTTTATCTTTCCCCTCTTTTCTGGCCTACCCAACCCTCTAACATTCCCCGATAAAATCTTCATTTAAACACACTATTGACACCCAATCCCCTCCGGACAGCCATCTAAGCTTCGGTTGCCATACCTCCTCCTCTAATTCTGCTCAAATCCTTCTCTTTCAGCTCCACAATTCTGCCCACTACCTCTTCCTCTTTGCCTTGAAAGTCCATTCCCAACTCGATGCCTATTCTCACAGTTGCCACAGCCTCCTCAAACTGCTGCTTCCTTCTGTACGCTACTTGGTTCTGAGAAGTAGAAGTCATTAGAGAAGCTGCTGCTTCGACAGAAGCTCTGAGGATAGCTCCCCGTTGAAAGCCCAGTCAGCCGAATACACATTTCCTTCGATCTGTGTCTTTTTTCCATGCCTTTCCCCGTCTTTGTGCTGCTCCTTTCTTTATAATGCTTCCAGCTGCCGTCTGATGGACCCTGTTTATCTGATCTGTTTGAGCTGGTTGGGCTTCATCTGGTCTGCTAAAATACTGGGCCATGTTTTCACTTAGTTCCGAACCCAAATCCTGAAGCAGTCCATTGGGCCCATCCCCCTTCTGCACACCCTCTATTAAAACTTCCAAGTTTATGCTGGGCCTTGCCTCTGCTGGCCCACTCAACTCCCTAAAGAGACCCATGCTGCACCTGGCCTTCTCTCTAATTTGAACTCCACTCATGATTGCCTGGTGGGAGCTGACTACCTGCCCCTCCCCTCTCACCTTGGACATGCACCTTCATGGTCATTCTCCACGCTCCTCCTTGCCTCAGCCACTGCATTTGCAAGCTCCCCATCATTATCCCTACCTTGCACCTCTAAGCTGCCCATCACTGACTCCCTAACCCTAGTAGCCGTCTCCAGTTCTTCACTCACCAACCCCTCACTTCCTACATATGCTACCTTTGCACTTTTGCAAGTTTCACCATTGCTAGACAACTGGTCTACCACTTGTTTGCCGTTGGAATGCAAGCAACCTTGATCATTACCTTTGCTCTCGGAAGAACTTTGAAATAAACATTTGGGCAACTCTCCACAGACTCTAACCGGGATTTGACTTCCTTTGTGCTGCAGAAAAATTGTTGTATTGATCCACTCCATGCATCTCGTAATCACTCTCACTCTAGTCTATTGAAAAGTTGTAGGATTATTGAAATCCTCTTCGTATTGAACAACCACCCCCCAATTACTACCTATGCTTCGAACTGCCGTGATGCTCCATAAGTTGATGGGGATGCCAAAACAGTTCAACCAGACGCACCTCTCTTGCTCTAAGAACTGGCCTTTGTCCCACTCATTGATTGATTCGCACAGCTGCTTTCCCCAATCCTGCAACTCTCTTTTGCCTACCTGCATTTGTTGTTTAATGGGAAAAGTTAACAGAACTAATTTGCCTCCCCCCTCTCTTGCAACTACATCCTTCATTCCTCTACTACTCATTTCCTCTTTGAATGCCTCGAATGCTAAGAAACTGCTCAACTGAACTACCAGACTTTCACTCCCCCACCCATTCCCTTCCTCAAAAGCTTTTAACACCACCCTATCCTTATCCCTGACTTCATCACTTAGCAAAGCCTCTGCATAAGACTTCTGAACTCCCTTTCCTTTCCACTGCTTTGATTGCACCCACCGATTCTCTTCACGACCTTCAACTCCTCTGCTCAACCCCCTAGGCTTCTGTTGCTCCGCTGACTGTGGCTTTTGATACTCAGCACACTTAACCCTCAGTGCCCTGTTGCCACACCACAAGCCATCTGTCTTATGTATCGCCACCCGTGCAGCCACCTCACAGTCGTATCTAGCAAACCTAAACTTGGAGTTTGAAGCCTTCCTCCTCTTCCCAGGGATGAACACATCTTTGACTAGACCAAACTTTCGAAAGAGATTGAACAAGCCTAGAGGATCCATTGATTCAGGGAGGTTGTCCACGAAAATCGTGATCCGGACACCCTCTCTCCACTGTCCACTTTGATTACCCACTCTTCTACTGCGAATGACTAGTTTCCATTCCGCCCGATCCATCTCTCTCTCACTCTCTCTCACACCAAATTTGAAGTTAATCCAAACTCAGTTATGGGCACACTTTACTACTCAAAAGGGTTTCTTCATAGGAATGAAGTTGTTTTTTGAAAAAATGGTCCCTTTGTGCCTCTTTAACCTCCATTATCAATCAATATAGGAAGTTCTAGTCAATTGTTTTGGCTCATAATATGTTGATGGATATTAAACGTTGATTTGGTATTTTGACTATCTTCAGATCCATCTGAATTTTATTTATGTCTCCAATAGTAGAAAACAGAGGGCAAAGATGTTTGGAGATGAGGTGATAAGCAGAATGGCAATCAACTACTTGGAAGTGTTGGCTTTAGCTATTCAAAGAATGAAAAGTGAGATTCAAATTCTTCAAACTTGCATGAATTGTTTTAATGTCAATATGTAAATAACTTAGAAGGATAGAATGATAGAGAGGAAGAAAGAAAAAGAAATTATCTTTTCACAAAGAAGTGATTGATGAAATACACTGTGTAATGAAATGGACTTAAATTGTGAAACCAAATGGTAGCTTCTCTGCAATTTCAGAATATTAAAGCGGGCCTTTTATACCATGAAAAATGCTCATCAGCACTGAGGAAATGGTCCTAGAAAATTTATCACTGTTCTTCACAGCAGTTTGATGATAGCATTATTTATGTAGTGCACTACATAACATAGACAGTGGCACCTACAATAATGTCGATTAGGTTTAACAATAATCTCCTTCTACTGTTAGGACAAAACACAAGGTACATTTTACCAATTCCTAGACCTATGCACAAGCATTGCCTAAAGACACAATATTTCATAGATTATGCATAAAGAAACCAACTATAATACCAATATGACAAAACACCTCAACAGCACGACAGACCTATGACCGTGCTGTCCTTAAAGAAGGGAGGATGAAAATTAAAAATGTTAGTTAGTGTGTGGAACAAACAATGGCCAAATGCATCTTCTGTGCTTCTAGGTTTTTTTTTTTTTTGACCGTTGCTACTCCCTTAGAAAAGTTTAACCATACTTGAATAATCCAATGTATAATCTAGAAAAAGAATTTCTTCTTGTAATATTGAATGATAATTAAAAGTCTCGTCTCCATAAAGGTATAAGGTACTTATCTGCTTCCTACTCAGTAACATGCTAAACTTTCATTGCAACCACAATTTAGAAGCATCTTAAATTGTTTTAGAAGCCTAAGATACCTTTCTATAACAAAGATTGCAAAACTTAAAACAAAGGGACCGTAGATTGTTGTGGCATACCAAATAACCATTCTTAAAATAATAATATTTCATTAACCATATCATTTCTTTTTTTTCTTTTTTTTAAATTCAAAGAAACTGCCTAACCCACAACTAAAGAACAAAACACATCATTTTGCATATAGTAGATCTAATTTAATGAAGTCGACGATGCTTCAACCTCACCAAAAAAACCCACTTTACATAAAAATTAAAATTAAATGTGTAGTATTGTCACTTTCCATAAGCAATTTTACACCAATTTATTGACAATGTCAATTTGAATAGTAGAAAGGCCAAACAAACCAATATGCATTTTCCCTATCACCAAACAACAAATTCCTTATCCAAATAATGGAACTATGCATTTCCACCAAGGAAGAAAAGAAAAGTAGAAGAAAATTGCATAATAAAATAGAATTAGAAAGTTGTGACAAAAAATGCAAAATAAAAAAAAGAAACCATATGTAACAACCCAATTTTTATACCCAAATGATAATACGATAACCATGGCTCTTTAAAGTAAATATGAAAATAAATCCCCACACTTGCATTACATGATACAAATAGTCTTCAGGCGATAATACATTCACTTCAAATCAAATTAACATAAGCAAATAGATACCTCCAAGGGTTTACAAGTTTCTAAGGCTTAGGCCTGGTCACACAAAATGATTATTCAAACCTACACAAATACAGCCCTTGGCTTACAAACAGAGTTACAGCAAAATGAGAGCCTTGTGCTCTCAACACATATTTCCTTGCCTTTAGTTAGGCGGAATCACCACATCTTTTCTTGCACAAAAATCCCGTAGGGTGAGCATAAAGCCCAGTAGGAAATCCTTAACAAAGTATATACATTTTGTTCAAGTCTCAAGAGATGAATGCACATGCCATGCTATGTCTTTTTGCAAATAAATCATATCTTCATCTTTTGAAAACCATCATGCTCAATGATGCCATGAAATGTCCATTGTTCAAAACTTAACAATTTAATTTAAGGGGCGGTAAATACAATTCTGGTAATTCCTAGGTCGGTGTCTGCAAGTAGACTGTACGAGTACTACCAAATTGTCATTTTATCGGTATTAACTAGAAGGCTTGACACCTATCCGCGTAGGTTTTCGGTCTTTCACTCTAGACTCTCAGGACAACTTATTCAATATCATCTACATCACCTATCAAGACTTACCAACATATTTACCCCAAAACCATTTCATGAAAACTTGTTTCTCAACATTCTTTTCTCAATGCTAGTTTTCAAATCAACTTTCAAAGTTTAATGTAATCAAATGAATTGATATGCCGATTTCACAAGATGAATGTAAATACTTTTATTTTAATTCATCATCCAAGGAATAACACAATTCCCTTTTCTCAAGTATCCTTAACAATTAGTCATTTCAAGACTATTTCAATATTTTGAACAATAATTTCCAAAATGAACAACAATTCTCATATTCCAAGAAATTCATCATTTATATAAATATAAATAAATTTTTTTCCAAACATCCATTTATTTTGACACACAAAATAAATATAACAATATCATTCATAGATTTTCAATCTCTTTTAAAAATCCCCAATTTCTAGGTTTTCTCACCAAAACTGTACAATTCAAATCTTTTGAATGAAAACTTCTCAAAATTATCTTTTCTTCAATCAACAAAGACCAAAACCCATAAGATCATTTTAAAAGAACAAGAGACAAACCCACTTTCAAAATCGATCAACTTCTTGATTCAACAATCAATTTCAAAGCT